CGCCGCGCGCGGCCTCCGCCGGCCGAGGTCGTCGTCGCCGAGGTCCTCGGCGTTCGCCTCCGCGCCGCGGCTCGCCGTGAGCCGCTTGAAGGCCCAGATGCGCTCGAAGGAGTTGTGCGTCACCCAGAAGAGCGGGTCGTTGGACGCGGCCAACGGCGTCATGTAGGGAGCCACGCGGCCCGGCGCGCACGACAGCCTCGCGAGCGCGACGAAGAAGTCGTCGGCGTCGCGCCCCGCGAGGCAGGCGCCGTTGGGCTCGCCCGCGAAGCAGAACTTTTCGTCGACGGTCCGCACGAAGACGTCGCCGCGCTGGCTGCCCGCGTAGCGGCTCAGCAGACCGATCGAGTCGAGGAACGCGTAGGCGAGCGCCGCGTTGCCCGCGGCGAACTCGGCGTCCAGCGCCGGGCAGGCGCAGCGGCAGGCGGCGAACCCCGCGGCCTCGTCGCAGGACGACGGGCACTTGAGGTGGCCCGTGTTGTGCGCGACGTCCCAGAGCACCTCCGCCAACTGGTGCACGAACTGCACGAGCTCCGGCGCCGTTTTCGCGAGGGCCGCGAAGTGGGACGCGCCGGCGCTCTCGGACGCGCAGTCGAAGGCGCCGCCGAGCGTCGGGTGCAGCGCGCCGTGCCAGTCCGTCTCGATCTTCGCCCTCAGGTCGCTCACGGAGGCCTCCCGGAGCGCGCCTTTCAGCGCCGCGCAGCCGGGGAGCCGCAGCTTGCTCGGCAGGCCGCAGACGCTGTCGCTGCGCCAGAGGAACGTCGCCGGGTCGTTGTTGTAGGACTGGGTCAGGCGGCCGAACGCGTTCCGCTCCGGCGGCGCGGCCGCGGCGCCCGCGGCGTCGCCCGCGGCGTAGGAGGGCACGTCGACGTAGGCGAAGCGGCCCGTCGTCAGGGCCGGGTAGTCGAGCTTCGGCCCGCCCGCGCCCGCGCGCGCCCCGAACCAGTCCTCCGCGAAGAGCTCGAGGCCCTCGGCCCAGGCCGCGCCGCGCGCGTCGTCGTCGAGCGACGTGTCCCAATAGGGCGCCGACACGGACGCGTCGACGGCCTGGAGCGCCTGCTCGAGCTCGAGCGTGAACGCGGCGTGGCCCGTGAGGAAGGCGTCGGCGCCGTGGAAGACGCTGCAGCCCTTGACCGTGTCCTCGCCGAGGTGCTTCAGCAGGAACGTCTTCTGGCTCCGGAACTTGGCGCCGTAGGCGCGCTTGCCGTCGGCGGACGACGTGCGGTGCACCCGCTCGAGGGCGGCGA